AGGCCTACTTCAAACGCCCTCTGAGGAATTTCTCCCAGAACAGAAAACATCTGTCCCATCTCATACTACTTTCCTTGAGACCTTCTCTATACCTACATACCATTTTCCCTCCTGCAACTATGCCCACCTACACTCCTGAGTCAGCGTCTTTACTTTGATACTAGACTCCACCCATTTAGCTTACTGTTTTCCTTCTCAATGGGTCATCCCCCTTAGCACAGAAATAAGCACTGTTTCACCCATCTTAATAGGGCAATCCATGGTTGATGTCTCCAATGTTTTTCTTCCCCTTTTTTCCTGTGTCTACTCCAGACACTGTCCCCAACCATTCCACTGACAGTCCATCAAAGTCACCAGTGCCCTCCATGTCTTTCTCTGCTAATTCCTCTCCATCTCTCAACCTCTTGATAGAATTCCTCAGGGACCTCTTTTCTATCCACACTCAACCCTAGTGATCCTATATAGCTTCATGTTTTAAAATATTGAATGTTCTCTCCAGACTGCTTCTGCTGAATTCGACTCGTATCCAACTGCCTATTATAAATGTCTAGAACATGACACACTTCTTACACATAGTAGGTTCAAATGGAACTCCTGACCACTCGTCATTCTCCTTCCAATCTGCTCCTGTCATAATCTTCACTTGATTATTGGCCCAAATCTTAGATTCTTCCTTGTCTCCTATTATACTCTTATGTGTCAGTAAATCCTGTTGGCTCCACTTGCAAAATACACCTAGAATATAGCCACTCCACTGCTACCCCTATGGTCCAAATCACCGTTCCTCATATGATTCCGTCTTCTAAGTGGTATCAGGCTTCATGTTTGTCCTCATACAGGCTATTCTCAGCTCAACAGAGCACTCCTGATGGCATATTATAGTTGATCACATTATACCCTTTGCTGAAATCCTTACCATGGACTCAACACAGAGTAAATGCTGTGGGAAATTTCCCCCTACTCAATCCCATTACCTCTCTTTTACTACTCTTCTCCCACTTGCTCACTCTGCTCCATCCATACTGACCTCCGTGCTAGTCTTCAACACACCAGGCACATGTCCACCTCATGGCATTGGCACAGATTCTTTCCCCAAGGAATGGAAAATCCTTCTTTCCCACAGGCAGTTGCATGGGCTGCTCACTTTGAACACTTAAATATCAACTTCAATGAGCTATTAAACTACTACCACATTCCCTCTGCCTAGTACTCTTGCCCCTTTACACCACTTAATTCTTCAAAGCACTTATCATTACACAACAGTTGTCTCTGACCCTTTTCTAAAGATAAAAACTCCATGAGGAAAGGGATCCGAGTCTGTACTGTTCACTGTTGTTTCCCCAGCATGCAGATCAGCACTTGCCATACAGCAGAAGTGCAATGAATATTTGTTGGTAGGGCCCATAAGATCATGTCCTGTTCTGATTTGCATGTCCTACAACATTTAGCACAAAAATCTGAACATGGTTAAGCTTTAAAAAAATTCATTGAAAACAACAGCTCAAAATAAGAGTCACACCACTGTTTAAAATGGGAAGGTTTATTAAGGTTTTTCCTCAAGAGGAACAGCCAATCTCTTGCTTCTTGAGAGAAGCAATTAGTGGGAAATGTATGTCACACCTTGGGCCCAGAACCACAGGAGGCTGCTTTGCAGCATGCCCAAAGAACATACATCCCCCAATTCCCGTTTAAAGCTCATTAATGTCTACAAAACAGAACCCATGTTGCCTTCCCAGAAAACAGAACTAGGAACCCAGTCAAAGCCTCCAGCTGTTCTCAACAAGAATATTTAAGCAAGACAGGGCAATAAATGGACTGCACATTCAACAAACCCAAGATGAAATTGCAGTAAAATCCATGATCGAAGTAATGTCTGGACTACATTTTCAAGAATGACTTACAGTTTTTACATTTTAGGGAACATAAATACTAAAAGCTGGGTGGTTAGACTGCCTCAAAGCTCACATTCATTTCCCTCTCGGCAAGATGAGCTCTTTCCAGACCCTGGACAAGAATCCAAACCACTCTGCCCTTTTAAGCCTGGAGCTGATTCAAGAGGGGATATTTTAACACATATTTAGCACCTTAAATAAGTACAAAATCCAAATTCTTAAAAAGCTTATTTTACAAATTATTTTCCTCCTCCAAATACCTGACAATTTCTTTACACTTTGGTTTCAACACACACACAATTTATAAGAGTATATTTTATGTTTTCTAGCATTCTGCTGTGATTGCTTACAAAGGAAAACACCAAGGTATTCCTTATTTCTCTTTCTGTCCCTCAGTCCCTAAGACAAAACTGAGGCACATAAACTGACAAATACATGTGTATCTACGAGGGTAAGGGGGCAAAATATTTTAAACTGGCCATGTCCAGGAAATGTAGAATGTCTTATTACTATTCTTCTATGGAGAAAAATGTTCCAAGCCTGTTTTAATAAAGTTGGTAATAAAGATCAGTATTTTCTCTAAGTATTAACTTTCCAAGTATATTATAACCTCAAAGAAGAGGATTACTTCAGTGAGGAGTAAATGGTGGCCATTTATGATGGCAAATCAAGGTGCCAAACACAGATTAGTTCATAATTGTAGGGAGAAGAGAGTAACACACACATCCATATTTCACCAAAAGTTCTTAATTACCCATGTAGCCACAGTTCGGAAAACTATGGTGTTATTCATATCTTTGATGAACTGTAGTATGTTCCCTGCCCAATTAGATTGTAAACTCTTGAGAGAGTGTCTCTATGCCTCTTTGTGAACCACGCAGTGTTCATGTACTAGGACTTAGTTACTTCAATGCTTATGAAAGTATTAACTGGGCCAGGCGCGGTGGCTCACGCCTGTCATCCCAACATTTTGGGAGGCTGGGGGGCGGGGGGGCGGATCACGAAGTCAGGAGTTCAAGACCAGGCTGGCCAATATGATGAAACCCTGTCTCTACCAAAAATACAAAAATTAGCTGGGCGTGGTGGCGGGCGCCTGTAATCCCAGCTACTTGGAAGACTGAGGCTGGAGAATAGTTTGAACCCAGGAGGCAGAGGTTGCAGTGAGCCGAGACTGAGCCATTGCACTCTAGCCTGGGCAACAAGGCAAGACTCTGTCTCAAAAAAAAAAAAAAAAAAGTATTAACCAATATTGATGCTCCCCCTGGTGGAGGGTAAGATTACAGCTGGATTGTGTATTTACTGTTAATTTCTAAAAGTAGACAGTTCAGGGATACCAAGCAAACTATGAACTATGGCATCAAGCCTCCTTAATTCTGTGTCACTCATATAACCAAAGTCATTATACTTTAAATAGTCACACATACTAATATGAAATCAGTTTCTAGATATTTATCATTTGACATTCATACAATATCCTAGACACTCTTTTTTCAGATATAAAAATACATTTATTTTCAGATACCCTTCCCTTTGGAACCAAGACTAAGGAGTTCACATTAGGACAATAAAAAAACACACCTATTTCACTTTCTAACAGGATACCTTTTCATCTTGCTCAGCAACCACAGACTTCCTTGCATATCTGACTTCAGCTGGTTCTGCTCTGAATACCACTGTGTGCTAGAAAGGCATTTTTCTTGAAAGTTCCACCTTTAACCCAAGTAGATTGTATAAGATGTGACAAAGGAATCTAATTATCGTCTTTCTCCACCACATTCTAAAATAGAAGATACTGAGTTTATGCTACTAGTCAAGCAGACTGAGACTTGAAGTCTTATCAAATGACTTCTATTTAATCTGTTAAATACACAATAGATGTGACAAGGTAGTATTTAGAAAGTTTTACTGGCTGATGAGATGTCTGTCTATGATCTTAAGTTTAAAGAAATGTTTGAGGGGTGTTTTAAAGCAGAATGACTTTAGAGGACCTTAAAATAAAAGATGCCACCCTGACCTGACAACTGGCCCTAATGCTTCATTAAAGTTCACTCTAGTTTTGGCCCCTCAATCCCAGACATATGCATAATTGGATGAGTAGAAGGGAAATGTTAGGTAACTAAGTGTATTCAAAACTAAAAACAAAAACAAGTTTTCAGTTTTTTAAAAACAAAACATTTTCTCAGGTTGGTCAGAGCTTAACATTTGAAACCTGATTTTAAAATTTCAATTTAGTAAGTGACAGGCTGACCACATGCCTGGAAAATCTCAGCAAGACATGAACACTTCTTCATACCTAGTTGCAAAGAGACAGTATCTAGAGATCCCTGAGCAATTACTTAGACTTTCTAGGACTGGTCTCCTCCTTAATATTTGAGGACAAGGCACAGGGTTTCCTAAGCTTGTTTCTTTCCTTTTCCAGAACTTAATAGGCTAACAAGCTTTTTGTTCTACGTCTCTTTATAGAGATTACATAAGCAGTATCACCCTGGGTCCATGTCTTACTTAAGCCCTGTCTTTTGTAAAGACAAAAATAACTGGGAAGGAAAAGAAAAAGCACTGCTATACACGAAGCTAAAATTTTAACTTAGCAATTTCTTCCATATTACTACTACCATACTATTTCATAAGTAGTTTAAGCAAAAGTAACACATTCCTTTTATGTGTTTTAACTTTCCCTCATTTTTCTCAAATTATTCAATCTATTATAAAGCAAGTTTGAAATTTTTCACATAACACTTCATTGGTGGACTCACACCCAACAAATTAACAATGCAAAAGGATTCCCTTGATGAAATTACAAGCTGTGGAAGATCTGAAATAGTAAAAGTTAAACCCTGATACAGTATTAAACTTATCTTTTTATATATAAAAATAATATACAGTGGGATTTTTATTCAATAAGATACAATCTTTAAGATCAAGAGAGAATATACAAAACTATTCTATGTTATCTGATGTATTTTACTGTATAGTAGGAATAAATATATTTAGAACAGAAAGTGCGACGTCTGTTCCTAGAGAAATCACCAGTTACTTAGTATAGTTTAACGCCAGTGTTCTGCAGATACTAGGCAGAAAGGAGCTACTGTCGCATTTAAAACAATGTGGTCATTATAAAATAAAGGCCTTAAATCTATAAACAATAACAAAAACACACAAACCAAATGAAAATGTACTAAAATTTAATCATCCATAAAAGCTGTAATTTAATCTGACAGTAAAACACAAGAAGCAATATTAGAGTTGGTTTAGTATATTATATATTTTAGCTTTGAAAGCCATAGAAATCAGTTATCCCAGTTTTTTTTCCTATAAAAGACCCATTTTTTCCAAAGCATTATGCACAATTTTAATTAGAATATAATGACAGATGATATTCCATAATTTTTTAAATATAAAATGAAGTCAATGACTCAAAAAAGTTATCTGCTGCAATGAGTTTGAGGGGACATTTCATAATCAATATCATTACAGATATAAAGTATAATGGTTCAACTTTTTAGTGCTTGATAGGGAGGAATCATGATAAAAAGGTCAATATGAAATCATTTGATTATAGTAGCAATATCTAACATTTGAAATGCATCCATGCTCTTTTGTATAATCATATTAGAGTCAAGTATATTTTCACATCTGTTATAACTGCTATTGCAAAGGAGAAATACTATTGTCTTATTTTCCAAGAGATATACACAGAGCAATACCAATATAAGATCTAAATTCTTCACATAATATATAAAACAGGAGAAGCCTCTTCAGATTTTTTTTTTTTTTTTTTTTGAAGTCTGGAATGCTGGCACTTTCCAATTAGGCAACAGTTCTTCATTCCTGTAATCTAAGACATGGGATATACAGATATACATATATGTATGGTTAATCTCTTGATGTCAGAAAATGGTACTAAACAAGCAGGTATCCAATAAAATAAAGCGATTTCAGCTGATTTTACCTGGAGAACTAAATTATGCTAAACAGCTACAGTGCTATTGTAAATTCCCTTTAAAAATGTTTTAAAAAATCAAAAATAGAAGTTCACAAGAGAGGAGTCCATAACTGATCAACTTGAATTATCCTCAGTTATACTTAGTTATACTCAATTATATTTAGTGTTTCCCATTACATCTGACAATCCTGTCTGTACAGAGGAAAACAATGATATTTTTTCTATCTCATTACCGTCTTATTTTTAGTTTCCTTTTTTACTAAAGGACACCTGCCTCCATAAACTTTCCATAAGACATTCTTTATTCAAGCATTTTATGATTAAATATTAGAATTACCATTTTTAATACAGGTTAAGGCAAGGGATGATACAGAAAGAGCTAATCCCCATAGTTTAAATCAAAGTTAAACTATGGGCAGAAGGGCACAAGAATCAAAGTTAGTCTTATTGTCAACAGACAAGAATTAGGTAAAAGGAAGAATCCGGATGATGAATATCTCTCAGATGTCTTTAAAACTGGGACATATAAAAAAGAGATTAACATGATTCAATACAATTTTGCCTAAAGGCTATGGACTAGATAAGCTGCCCTCAGGGTTCATGTACTCTTACTAAAAACGTTTATAATTTCTATTTAAATCTATCCTGTATCTCAGTACTTTTAAAAGTACAGGAACAACATGGCACTTCAAGTCTATAATCACAGTAAAATGGATGTAAAGTAGTCTGATTGCTAAGTCACGTATTATTTGGTATTATCAAACATCCACAGAGATCTTGGATGACTTATTAAGTCAACTTTATCACACATCACAGTCTAAGAATTTATGCAAGCAGGACTAAAGTCTTATTCTAGATCTAGGTCAAGATTTATCTTCTCTAAGGTAAAACTCACAAGGGACTGTCACATTGTTGGGTGTGTATAAATGAATTTTTAAAATCATAATAGGCCAGGAGATGGCACCTTTTCCTTTAACAAAAGCTAAAAGGATATTTTGTGAGAACTGAAAATTAAACTAGGGCCAGCCATAGTAATGAGCTGTCAATGAGTCAGTCAACTATAAGACAGTTAAGTAACATAGTATTTAAGAACTGGAACTGGAATCTTCATTTTCTCTATCTTTGTACCCTTACCTAAACAAACACATACACCAGTAATCTTAATAATCACTTTCAGAGAACTGATAATTTAAAGTTACTGAATCAAGGCCAGGCACTGTGGATCGGATCACCTGAGGTCAGGAGTTTGAGACCAGCCTGGCCAATGTGGTAAAACCCCGTCTCTACTAAAACTATAAAAATTAGCTGGGCATGGTGAAGTCCCAGCTACTCAGGAGGCTGAGGCAGGAGAATCGCTTGAACCCAGGAGGCGGAGGTTGCAGTGAGCAGAGATTGCGCCACTGCACTCCAGCCTGGGTGACAGGGCGAGACTCTGTCTCAAAAAAAGAAAAAAAGTTACTGAATTAAGATTTCACTAAAAGCCTAAAGCAAACATTAGCCAGATGCTGTCTTTCCTAAATCTGACTACTGGAGATAATCCCCAGGTCCTTTTCTCCTTTCTGCCCATTTTTCCTGTGTACCTTCATTTAAAAAGGAAGCTATAATTACTCAGGTGTTTTTCCCTTAAGAGAGAGATTCATATCTCTAAGGAAGCACATATTAGTTAATAGGGAGCTCTTAACGGATAATCTACTAAATGGACCCAAGAGACTTACAAGAGTTACTGTAACCAACTCTCCAGTGGGACCAGTTTACTCCGACTGGAGACCAAGTTTAGTAATAATCATGTAATAAGCATCAAATTACATAATACATCCATTCCATGAAAATAATCTTTTATGGTATTATTTATAGAACTGATGAAGTAGAAACGTTCAGGGGATTTAAATACAAATACAAATTAAAGAAAACAGTCCCCACAGATCCTGGTCTCTCACTTGATAGTCAGCTTAAATGCTGTCATAAATTTCTTTCCAATGGGGTCATTTAGTGGAAACTAAAATGGTAAAGTCAACTAATACTTAGAAGCCTAAATAGAAAACCTTTATTTGAAAGAAGCTGACGCATACCAGAGAGGGAAATGGCTACCAAAATTACACTGATATACCCCTACATATCCCCTAGAATGGGTCAAGTTTAAAAGACTGACAATATCAATTTTGGGGATGATGTAGAACTCAAAAACCGTTGGAGTGTGTGTAAACTGGTACAACCACTTTGAAAACCTTTTTAGCAGTATCTACTATAGCCGTCCATATGTATAGCATATGATCTGGCCATTCCATTCCTAGATATATACCCAACAGAAATGCATGTATATGTGCACAAAGACATATAGGAATGTGCACAGAATTATTCATACTAATTCCCTCAAAGAAAGAACTTAAATGAACACCAACAGCAGAATACAGAAACACACTTCCAGTACTGTCATGCAATAAAAATAAACTATTGCTACATTTAACATAAATAATTCTCAAAAACATATTTTGGAGTGTAAGAAGCCAGACATAGAAAAATACACTATGTTTTTGTTTATGTAAAGTTCAAAAAGAGGCAAAACTAATCCATGGAGTTAGAAATCAGGGCAGAGTTTTAATTTAATTTGGAGGAGGGAGACTCCTGTTGTTATATATGGGTGTGTTCACTTTGGGATAATTCACCAAATGTGCACTTACATCTTTTTATTTCAGAGCAACTACTGTTTCACTTCAATTCAGAATGAATTTGGGAGTCATCTAGGAAGGCGTTGTATTCATTCAACCACTATTTTTTAATACCCAACTCTGTATCAGGCACTGGGGATACAGTGGCAAGGAAAAACAGACATGGTCCTTGCTGTCAGAGAGCTTAGAATCTCAAAGGGACAGGGCAAGTTATCCAAAAGATGACTGTACCTACAAGTTATATATCACATTTACAAGTTACAGACACTTAGGAATACCATAACAGATGAAATGGAAAGTAGCTAAAGTCTGGAAAACACCAAAATAAGAAGACGAGAAAGGCACTTCTGCTTTTAGCATCTTACCTGGCTCAGAGCTGCTGCTGACTATGGGCCTAGAGCAGCAGACATGATTTCTTTTTAGGCTTCTTCTTTTCCACTGGTGTTTTCCTATTTATCTGTCTGACCAGGTCATAAAATATCTAAGTAAAAACAAGAAAAAAAGTACTTACTTGACCAACTTTTGAGACTTTGTTCCACAAAACAACTCTGGTAGGTACTATTCTGGTCTTAGATATGTATTCTGCTTCTTTCTTTGAAAGTCAGATTTGTTAGAAGGCTCTGACTTTCAATCAGGGTAAAAAGCAGGACTTACCTATTTATAATGAAGGAAATGCCCTTGCTCCTAGATATTCGACATCAAATCAAGAAAAAGAACTGGTAGTAAAAAATAGTGAAAACTCCAAACCTACAGAAAAGTTGCAAAAATAGTACCAACAACTTCGTATATTCTTCCCAGATTCACCAATTCGTAACATTTTGCCACTTTTACTTCACACACACACACACACACACACACACACACTCTTTCTGAATCATCTGAGAGTAGACCTTAACTATTAACTCCTTAATAGTTAAATTGTTCCTAAGAACAAGGATATTCTCTTACATAAACACATTATAGTTATTACACTTAAGACATTTAAGGATTGACATATTATTTTGTATAACTATACAACAAATTCCAATTTTGTGTCAATTGCCCCAATAATGTACTTTATAGTAACTTTCCCCTCCAAGGACAAGATCCATTCAGGATCACACACTGCATTTTATTTCCTCTCACTTTAGTTTTTAAAAATCTGGAACAGTTCCTTGGCCTTTGCCTTTCAGGACATTGTCATTTCTGAAAAATAAAGGCTAGTAACTTCCCTCAATTTGGGCTTATCTGAGATTTTCTCGTGATTAGATTCAGGTTATACATTTTTGTCTAAAATAGGACAGAAGAGATACTGTCCCCCTTTCAAGATATCACATGCAGAGGCACATGATTTTTGTCTTTTTTTATGTTAATTTTGGTTAAAGCAAAAAATATTCAGAAAAAGTCTGCTTATCCTTGATTTGAAGTAAGAAATATTTGTGGGTTTTAGTTTGGTTGTTTTGTTTTGAGACAGAGTCTCACTCTGTCACCCAGGCTGGAGTGCTGTGGCACAATCTCGGCTCACTGCAACCTCCACTTCCCAGGCTCAAGCGATCCTTCCATCTCAGCCTCCTGAACAGCTGGGAACTACAGGCGTGCGCCACCACACCCAGCTAATTTTTCTATTTTTCGTAGAGACAAGGGTTTTGCAATGTTGCCCAGACTGGTCTCAAACATCTGAGGTCAAGTGATCTGGCTGTCTCGGCCTCCCAAAGTGCCAGGATTTTAGATGTGAGCCACTGTGCCCAGCCCAAATAATATTTGTTAATAAATCCTGTGGATTCATTTTTGGATGAAAAGTGCAGTGTCAAAGACAAAAATACAATGCTACTTATCTCATAAAAGCAGATTATTTTAATTCTGATGCCAAAGTATTAAAACATGAAATAGATAAGCTTTGCTATGAAATACAACACTTACTAATGATTTGGAATAAAAACAAATATCATAGAAGTCCCTTATTGATACTAACCTGGAATAAATAGTTCTTTGCAGAAATATATTAAAAAATGGACTGGCTTTAAGGAGCATCTCAGGGACAACTGGTAAAATCTGAATATATACCAAACACAGACTGTGTCATCAATTTTTAGGATTCTAATCATTGTGCTGTGGTTGTGTAAGACAATGTCTTTGATCTGAGGATACATACACTAAAATATTTAGGGGTAAAGAAGTGTAATTTCTGTAAACAAGTGGCAAAATTTTAATAATGGGTGAATCTGATGGTGAACAAATTCTTTTTTATTGTTCTTATATCTTTTGAGTACATTTTAAGAGTAAAATATTTTTAAATTGTCAATCTACATGTATTTTAAGATAGATGGTAAATAATTATATTTCTTTAAAATGATAATTGCCTATTTACTTTTTTAAATGGTCCAGACTACAAGACTAAATTAACTGTTAAAAAGAAAAAAAACCTGAATGATTTATCCAAAAGCTATAAAAGTGACTCATTTAAATTCTTTTCTTTCTGCTCCATTCTTCCCACTCCCATCCTCTTCAAATCATTTAACTGTTATCTTATTTCTAAAAGAAGTCTGAAAACAGAATTTATAAACAAAATTGTAGTTTCTGTTTTACAACTCCAAAGTCCAAGTTGTTTCAAAACTCTGAAAACTTCAAGAACTCAATGTGCTTAAGCCACAAATGAGCTTTTATTAGTTCCCTACACTCAATGCATAAGCTATAAGATAAAAAATTAATAAAAGTAAACTAAAACAGTAAGTTAATAAAAATTACAAGTAGTTTCTATTTCAGTTTCTTCATACTAGCCAGTTTCTAGTTTCTGGTACTATACGGAAAGGTAACTAATGTTTGTAGTATTATTCTAAATTATTTCTTTGGAAAACATTGCCTACCTCACAGCAGCAGATGGTTCAGTGATGAGGGCAAGTTCGAACTATAATATTTGGTTAGAAATGCTGAAAGGCCCCAGCCTAGGTTCTTCCTCATCTCTCTGAACTATAGAAAAATCTAAAGGGAACACAGAATAGAGTTTCTCAATCCCTCTCCCATTCCTAAATTGGGATGTCTTGATTCCAATTACTATTCCAGCCTCAGCAAAGAACAATTAATTCTTGATTAAGACTACTGTGATTCTGGTATAGCCATATACTACTTTAAAACATTGCAAAGTGGTGTGAATAAGAGAGAGATATATATATATGAATGAATTAGGGGGCTCTTCAGCCAAGTAGTATGTCCTTCTGTCTGTTTTCAAATTTAAGGCCAAGAGGTGAATTTTTGAAAGCATCTCTCTATAATTCAGGCATTCAAAAATCACAAAAAAATTTACAAGGCAAAAGTTGTGTGAGGAACTATTAACTATCAAAGAAATCCTGTAGCTGGATTATCAGGTTATAAAGAGAAAAATATTAAAAGAAACTAAAATTATCTGCTCCATTCTCCCCACTCAAGAATTGAACATAAAGTTTGTATGTTTTCCAAAAAGTAAAGATTCTTGAGATGGCTAATGCATTTCATTTTATGGTTTTTCTGTTTGTTTTTATAAACCCTCGTTTATAAACTCTCTGCTTTAACAAGACTGCTATGAAAAAGTATCTCTGCTGCACTGGAAACTAATCCAGAGGAAGTTTAATAGCGTGCAGGAAGGTTTAACAGCATGTAGGTTCTCACAAACATGTAGTGCACTGTCCTCTGGCTCCCAAAGGGAGAAGTCCTATGCACTGGACCCAGGCCCAACCCAGCCCCACCGGAGCCTGGAGCCTGACGAACTTGGTTGGTGGGTCCCACGGAGGTAAGGACAAGGACAGCAAGGAACCACATCCCTTAAGGCCAATTATCTTGTAGATAGTGACCTCACATCACTGTTCTGCTAGCCAAACACATTCACCACTTCTAACACATTCTTTATCAAAATCACTTTTTTTCTTTAATTATTGCTGAAAGACTTGTTCCCCCAGTAGAATGCAAACTTCTTCAGGGCAGGAACAGTGTCTGTCTGACTATTATCTGGGGGCCTGACACAGGGCCAGACACATAATAGTCAATAAATATTTGCTGAGTAAATACAATTTATAAATTTCCTGTTTCTATGTACTTGTTAAAAATTGTTTCACATAAAAAAGCAAGCTTGGGCATTCTTGATTATCTGTAAAATACAGAAGCCGACGCAAGCTTAATTTTTTTTTTACCTGCCAGGTGTTTAAAGTAACCTGGTCATTTTTAAAAGTCAGATAATAGTCTCTAAGCATAATATTAGTCAAGAAAAAGTGGCCAGCAGAACCACAGGTCAGAGAGAACAGCAAGCAAAAACAGAGGATTCATAACTTAATCCACTCTCACTCTCACTCTCACCTATGTAGTTAAGTGATCTGAATTCTGACTGATTACCTGTAATGCTACAAATGGCAAATGCAAGGGCAGGAAAGACACCCACTCTGTTTTGTTTTTATTTTTTTTAAAGGCTTATGGTAAAGTTAACAAAAGCAAGGGAACTTTTTAAGGTTGATTGGTGGGGACAGTTGGAAATTGCACTAAATTTTTAGGGGCCCAGTAAACTAGCAAACTGTTGGCCCTTTACACCCAGGCATGCAGCTTATTTGCTAAGTATTCTTGTCCACAGCTATGTTTTCAAGATAGTGGAGTGCTTAACTCAGTGACCCCACCCCCATGCCCTGCACAAAAGCCTTGTGCATCAGCTGTATCAGGCCTAAAGGACTGAGTGAATTCCAGGTACATGTCCATACTCACACAGATTACCCACTTATGAGTCATGCACCAAAGGTGAGGTAAGACTCAGAACATTATTCTGTGATATCCATGAAAACATATTATTTTCCAACTTGACTTTACAACCTATTTTATGCATTTGGATAAGTAATTATTACAATATAAGGGTGATGTAATAATTTTTACACACCACTTTATCGCATATCACTTAGAGGCTTAGCAGGATTTTATACACATTCTTTCATTTTAGCTTCCTCTTTTACAATAAGGTAAATTTAAGTATCCTCATACAGCCATCAAAGTGATCTTATGTAAGCTAAAAAATATAGTTTCTAGGAATTAGTGTTTCCTATAAAATGACAGAATCAAGATTGCTTAAAAGATAAAAAATGCTTCTTAAAAGTTTGGCTGTTAACTTAAAGCAAACTAAAAAGGCACTTGTTTGTGCTGCCCAGCAATTGTAGGTTACCTCATTAACATTGATCTTTGACTTTGCAGAAGATTCTAAAAAGGCACAGTTACACCACTGTCTTGCTAAATTCTGGCCCTGTTCTTTGCCAACTACTCGCTCATCTTCCAGGTCACATTTATTGCCAACCAAAATCATTGGAACCTGTGGGAAGAAAAAAACATAAAATGAACAATAACATACTTATTACTTAGCCTTTTAAAAAAATAAATAAGCAATTATCTGCCACCAACTAAAATGCATTAGTTGGGACTGCAAGCTTCATCAGGTACTAACAAAAAGTGTATGTTGAGGGGAAGAGGTGAAGGAAGAAGGAAGAGACCAAAAAAAAAAAAAAAAAATGGAAGAGATCCCACTACATAGATACACTAAATTATTTTAAGAGTATAATGCTGTCCAGGTGCAATGATTCATGCCTGTAATCCCAGGGAGGCTGAGGCAGGAGAATTTCTTAAGCTCAGGAGCCTGAGACAAGCCTGGGTAACATAGTGAGACCTGGTCTCTACTAAAAAATTCAAAAACAATCAGCCAGGCAGGATGGCACACACCTGTAGTCCCAACTACTCAGGGGGTTGAGGTGGGAAGATCACTTGAGCCCAGGAGGTAGACTGTAATGTGTGAATTATGCCAAAGAAATTTTAGAAATAAAAACATACCACTATGGATCTTAATAATGTTCTTTGAACACTGTTTCTGACACAACTACCATCTTTCAAAGCTCAACTTAGTTCCCACTTCTATGAAGTATTCTTTGGCTCCTCTTTTTCCCTATTGCACATTTTAACTTGTAGCACAATGAGTACTTTATTACACATGTTCTCATTTTCTAAACATCTCACCACATAATTTCGAGGTTAATTTTGAAAGTTAAATTTTTTTTTTTTGGTCACAGGGGCTCTTTCAGGCATGTGGCAGGTAGCTTCCAAATCCTCTACTGATAGAGAAAACAGGCACTTTTTTATTTGGCCACAGCGAGATGGCATAACACCTAACAGAGAAAAAAAATACTTACATCTTCCGTGTCCTTAACCCGTAAAATCTGTTCCCTCAGGTCCTGTAAGTCATTAAACGTGGACTGAGCTGTAATAGAATATACTAGTGCAAAACCTTGGCCATTCTTCATATACAAATCCCTCATCGCTGTAAATTGCTCCTATGATTAAAAAATATGCAATTATAAATATATGAATTTTCTGAATGTATACTGGAACAATTCAAAACAGCATACGTACAAGTGAGCAACTACATTTTTTATTACTTGCTATCCTAACAGAAAACAAGACTTAACAGTTTCCAGCAACTCTGAGGTGACTAGAAACAATGACAGTAAACTGTAGAATTAAAAAGGAATTCTTAACCACTTTAATTTGCTTTTGTGTGATTTAGAACTGTATATAATTTTTTAGAAACAGATCTTAATTTTGATCCTAAATAATTTTATTTGCATATTTATGACACAACTACTGCCCAGGTGCTAACAATCTGAGGTATAAGCCCAATACTGAACTATGACTTAATCATCCAGCATCAGTATCTCTACTGGCAGATTTTATCATCTTTCTTTTACTATTCCCATGGCATAGCAAGATTTTTATCATCTTGACAGTCAATAAACTCTTTTTATAAGCACTTGTTAATGGTCAGGGGCAATGACTCACATCTGTAATCCCAACACTCTGGAAGGCCAAGGCAGGTGGATCAATCACCCCAGGTCAGGAGTTAGAGACTAGCCTGGCCAACATGGTGAAACCCCGCCTCTACTAAAAATACAAAATTAGCTGGGCGTAGTGGTGCACGCCTATAGTCCCAGCTACTCAGTAGGCTGAGGCAGGAGAATCACTTGAACCCAGGAGGCAGAGGTTGCAGTGAGCCAAGATCATAACACTGCACTCAAGCCTGGGCAACAAGAGTGAAACTCTGTCTCGGGGAAAAAAAAAAAAAAAAAAAGAGCTTGTTCATGAATTTTCATTTTCCACTTTGTGAGAATAGTGCAATAGTGCAAATTTACCTTTCAGTTAAATTTACTAATTGTTAACATTTAGTCACTGAGCTTTAGTCATGCCAAATTAAAATTATTTAATTTTAAACTTCCTTTTATCTGGTGACAATCATTACTGCATTTGTAACGACAGAGGTTAATACAAGACAAAATCTTATTTTAGAAAAGTTTTAGTGTTTTATATATATTATTTTAAAAGCACATACGGTAGAATATTAAAAATGTATACATCTTGGGTCTTTATATTAAGTAACTACACATTTTGGATCTTTTTACCTTTGGATGCATTAAACAGAAAAGACAAATCCACAAGGTTTCTTAAGCTTGTTGCTGCCTTGGCTTCCTTGCTCCCCATGACCATTACACCTCTATTTTGTCTACTACATCTAAAATAGTTCTGGTTGTTCTACCCTGGCTGATGTACTCTTTCTTGTATTCCAGGGAGTTAGCTATGCTACCACTCAACCACTTCTCCAGCTTCAAATTCGTCTATGGTCTGCCACAGGAATATGGCTGAGCTTCCTATACTGCTGCCAGTGTATTTTCTGGGAAAGATGTAAAAACTGGGAATTTCCTGGATTTTTCACTGATAAGGTTTGCAACAGGCAACCTGAGTTCTGAAAATCCAATTTAAGAAAAGTCCTTACAGAACTGCTGTGGTTGGTGTCCCCTCCTATTGAGAATGCCAACCTCCTTCTTAAGGACAGTCTACAAGTTTCACCCATTCACAACAAATATCTACTAACAATGTTGTAGCCCTACCTTTTAAGGTAAAGCCAATAGGGTTCTCCGAGAGTTTGGATGTACACAGAATATAACAAAAAATACAGTCAAAGATGACTCCATGGTTTCAGGCATAACCAACTAAAAGGATACTATTTACTGAGATGGGAAAGAATGGAAAGACCCAGGTCAGGGAAAGGCTATCAGGAGTTCAGTTTGGACATGTTATGTTTGAGATGCTTATTAGACATACAAAAAGAGATACTAAGAGGCAGTTAGATATAAGAGCTTGAAGTTCAGAAAAGAAATGAGAGATAGGGATATTGTTTGGATGTTTGTCACCTCCAAACCTTATGCTGAAATGTAATCCGCAATGTTGGAGGTGAGGCCTGTGGGAGGTGTTTGGGTCATGGAGGCAAATCCCTCATGAATGGCTTAGTGCTATCCTCACGATTGTGAGTTCCCATGAGATCTGGTTGTTTGAAAGTGTGTGGCATCTCCCGCTCTCTCTTTGCTCTTGCCATGTAAAACACCTACTCCCCTTTGCCTTTCACTATGATTGTAAGATTCCTGAGGTGTTTACCAGAAGCAGATGCTGAAGCTATGCTTGTATAGCCTGCAGAACCATGAGCCAATTAAACCTCTTTTCTTCATAAATTATCCAGCCTCAGGTATTTCTTTACAACAATGCAAACGGCCTAATACAGACAGAGTTATAAAGTTAGTATTTATTAGGATACAGATTGTATTTAAAACCAAGCAACTAAAGATCTCCAAAGCAGTGTTGTTAGAAAAGAGAAGTGCAAGTATTGAACCCTGAGGTCCTCCAACATTAAGAGGTGGGGAAGATAAAGAGGAATTAGGAAAGGAGACGTAGGAGTAACCAATGAGACGGAGAAAATCCGAAAAGTATTGTTTCTTGGAAGCCAAATGAATAAAGGTTTTACATTAGAAAGCAGTGATAAACTGAGTCAAAGGCTGCTGAAAAGTCAAGGGAGTTGAGGATATATTCAAGAGAATTATAAATGATGGACGGACCGTGGACCTGAAGCTATATGCAGAGGGGGCTGAAGATATAAGGGATAATAAAAAGATGTTAGGATAAATGGATTACAGGTTGTAATGAAGTTGAAGGGCACTAAAGGAAATGAGATGTCTTGGGTGCAGTGGCTCACACCTGTTATCCCAGCACTGTTGGGAGGCCAAAGACAGGAGGATCCCTTGAGTCCAGGAGTTCAAGACCAGCTTGGACAACATAGTGAGACCCTGTCTCTACAAAAAACAAACAAACAAACAAACAAAAACACCTAGGTGTGGTGGTGTGCGCCTGCAGTAGCACCAGCTCTTCAGGAGGTGATGGTGGGAAGATTTCTTGACCCTGGGAGATTGAAGCAGAAGTGATCTGTGTTCAGACCACTGCACTCCAGCCTGGGTGACACAGAGAGACGCTGTTTCAAAACAAAAAACAAAACAAAACAAAAAGAGGAAGTGAGATGGATAAAGAAAAAAGTAGTGAGTAGTGGAGGATAAGAAGCTTGGAAATTAGATTAGGGAGGTATTATATATTGGTAATTACACAGTCTAGGGTAAAACCATGGTATGAATGCCTTAAAGGTAGGATGGGCATCAAGGAACTGATAGGCCAAGCCAGGGTAGTAAATTATCTATGTGTGAGAGAGCAAAAATCTTCAAAGGGTAAGGAGTGATTCTGAGACAAGATTAAGCAGCTGTTTGCAAGGTTTTATGCAAGGCACCAGGGACACAAACAAGCAAATAGGCCTTATAACACAGCATGTTGAGTGCTATGATGGGCGACAGACACGATATTGGATAGCACAAAGTAAAGATCTCTGTGATAGAGAACTTCCGTCTTACAATTTGGACAGAGAAAAAAGAAAGAATGCCCATACACTGTGGATGCAATTAAAAAAAAAAAAAAGGTAGAAAGTATTCTTTTTAGCTATTGGGATTTCTGGAAACAAAGGGGAATTTTGCTGATTCAGAAGCTAAAAACATTAGGGAGTAGGAGGGTGGGAGAGGGAGAGACAGCTTGATTCAGCTGATACAAGATGTAGTTTCAGAAGGTCTTTACCAGAAGCTTGCTGTGAGGGCAAACGTCCCTGTTAAAAGTTAAGATCAATTTTAAGCATGGAAAAATATAGTATAATTAGTACTATATTGTTGTATAATATCACTCCAATTTGCTTACATGCTTTTTTGGACTATCTGAAATGTTTCCATCATTTATAAAAATTAGGGTAGAAAATTTTGTGCTGAATTTTAAACAACTTATCACATTTAAGAATGCCAGTCAGGTGCCATGGCTCACACCTATAATCCCAGCACTTTCAGAAACAGAGCCAGGAAGAACACTTGAGGCCAGGAGTTTGAGATTAGCCTGGGCAACACAGAGAGACTACTTCTAAAAAAAAATTTTTTTTTTATTAGCCGGGGGTGGTGGTATGTGCCTGTAGTTCTAGCTACCCAGGAGGCTGCGGCAGGAAGATTGCTTGAACCCAGGAGACTGCAGTAAGCTATGATTGCACCACTACACCCTCGCCTAGGCGATAGAGCAAGACCCTGTCTCTTAAGAAAAACAAAAGACGAACCCATCCATTTTAAAGCTAGGAATTGCCTAATGTGTCAAGTCTATGTGTATGGAGAAAAATAAACAAATAAAAGCAAAGATTGCTTCATGTATGTATTTTGTGTGGCAGTATAACTGGAAACCATCAGTTATTAATAAAAAATTATAAAGGTGATGGTATTACTGAAGATAAGAAGAATAAAAGCAAATACACAATTCCATACTGTGTAACAGACATTATGCTGAATGATTTATAATTATTATCTCATTTGCTTATCACAAACACCTTATGATATACTAATATCATTATACTCATTTAAAGATTAGAAAAAGGAGGCTCAAAGTAATCCTAAATCTTCTGAGGAAGATTTTTGCCTTCCTCAGAAAACATGTATCTGTCACCAACCCCTAGAGATGTCAAAATGCTAGTGAAAAGAAAAAATTATAAAAATTAATGACTATGGTGCCAAAAGACAAGGTCTTATTTAAACCCACAGAAATACAAATATTAGCTAAAACTCTAAATTTAAAATACATTTAAAAAAATCATTGATAGCATAATCCTTACCTCAATGTAGGAAGAAACCCAACACACAGATTATTACAGCTGAACTTTGTGATACGTAAGCATTAACTACATTACAGTTGATTTCATATTACTTAAGAATCCCTATGTTCAGAGAATTTCTTCTTAATCAGAATGATTACTTTTACTCAGAATTATTTGGATGACAAAACCTACTCAGATGACAAAACCTGCTCACAAATTAAAATCTATCAAAAAAAGAGAAAACATCCTTACTGTCCCTGCAGTATCCAGGATTTCGAGCATACACTGTTGGCAATCGACTTCAACTTGCTGTGGGGGCAAAAAAAGAAAAAGTTAAAAAGTAACATCAAAATCTCATTCTGTTTTCTTCTCCTGTCTTCCATCAAAGTTATCTATTAACAAATACAAAGCCTTTCTCCAGCAGTATGCTGTATGGCTGGGGGTAAACTTGGTACCACAATAAAGAACAGCGGTCTCAAGTACAGGCTATTCATATTACAGAAGCCAAGATGGTTAATGCTGAGTTTAGATATTTTCTGACCTCTGTAATGATTCTTATTTGTTCTTAATAAAGGCAAAAGTCGTATTTTGGAATTTAAGGAAAACTTCAACAAACAAGTATAGTTCTAACAGAAAAAAAGTATATATGCCTATTTATATTATCTCCAAAGAAAACAAAGTACAAAAATATTAAATGGCTCAAAATGCACACAAGATTTTGGGGTAAAAAAAAATCTTGCCAACTTACCATGTTCAAGTTGTTAAAATTTTACTAAAACATGCAGAAAATTAATACATAGTAAAATTTGAGTTTAAGACATAAAAGAAACACAGGAGTACTCAAATAAACAGCAATGAGCTAAAACAGTCCTCAAGACTAAGGCACTTTTCTAGAAAAGCTCTATGTGAAAGGTGAAATTTTATACACTGAGTTCTATTTACCCACTGATCTTATAAAAGAAGAGAAAGTTGGTCTAAAGAAAGTATCAACTATCAACTGTGTGGAAAACTATTTTAATAAAGAAGGGATTAAGAAAAGTTAGTCCTTTAGAATTTTAGGTACAGATCTTGCTTTGCAGTTAAAGCTTTAACTAGCAACTTACTTTGGGGAAATTTCAGTAGAGCAACACTGTCTTCTAAAAATAAATGTGCTAACCTAAAGACTATTTTAAACTCTGCTTCTGTGTCAGATCAGACATTGATGAGGGGCACCACTGGTCAGACCACAAACTCATCCCCCCACCACTTATGGGACAAGTGTGATAATCTGCAAAATGTGTAACTGGGAACGCTCAATGAATAATCAATTAGGACTACAGTTTCTCAATGTATCTAGAGCATAATTTTGTTTCCAATTTGAAGACAATGAAACTGCTCTGCTAGTAGTGCTTCATGAACTAACATTAATTCAACAAAAGTTACAGCACTCTTAAAGGTAAATTCTAAAAACATCTTCAAAAGCAATCCTTTCCTATTAAAGTTCAATCTTTTAAAAAAATATCCTTGGCTACTAGCCTTTTATAACCCCCATCCCACCCAATATATTTGACAAATAAAATACTGAAAATTTTCCACAACTCTAGCTGGTCTTCTACAGAATATTTTTTGTCAAGACCAAGTATCTAATTTTTTTTCCCTTTTAAATAGTCTTTATTTATTATAGCAGTTTTAGGTTCACAGCAAAACTGAGAGGAAGGTGCAGAGATTTCCCACATACTCCCTGCCACCACAAATGCATAGCCTCACCCCACTATCAACATCCTGCACCAGAGTGGTACATCTGTTACAACTGATAAACCCACATGAACACATCATTATCACCAAGAGTCCACAGTTTACATTAGGATTTTCTTTTGGCATTGTACATTCTGTGGGTTTTGACAAATGTATGGCATGTAATCCAATTATAGTATTACACAGACTCTAATTTGTTTGTAGTCTAAAGATGAAATACCTTTAAACTTATAAAACTAAACAAAAATAAAAATGTTTAGTCACTGGATAACTTCAAGCATAAAGGTGGTCTTAACATTTGGTAACAAAAGAGTAAGTTGAAAACACACCTACTATTTATATGTAATTTTTTCATATGTGGCAATATTCCCCACCTGGAAAATGTCCACATTAAGGAACAAGTCACTAATTAGTAACAGAACATAGAGCTCTGAATATCGAAGTAGTATTCTGTAAGAAATATTCTGTCTTGATGAAACTTTTAAAAACATATGCACAACATTTGCATCATTTCTCAAAACTATTTTCAAAAAGCAAATGTACAGATCACATTTTAACATCATAAGGAACTACTTGTAAACGTGTGTACAAGTTTCACATTTTACCTTTCTGTAGGAATCTTCTATCGTTGGGTCATATTTTTCAACAAAAATTCCCTGAACAAACTGAACTGTCTGGGGAAAAAAAATAAGAGAAATATTAAAAAATTAAAGAAAAAACTCCTTTGAATGTTACTTAACCTCACAAGTTATAATGATTAATTGAAATTATGTGAAAATTCTGGGTAAACACATAAATGTAAAGTATATCATTATTTTTCAATATAAGGATACAACCATAATTAAGAGTACATTTATTATGAAAGGAGGTAGTCATGTTAAAAGCTGTCATCAATACTGACGATAATACACTGTTAATTACATTAAGTTTTAAAATACAAGGATACAAATAACATATCTGAACTAATTAAAAGATGAAAAATTATCAGTATTTAACTCCTACTGCCCCTTTGTATATCTATAGTAACTTTTATCCCATGCCCTCTGCCCTTAATGAAGTGACAAAGGTTTTAATTTTTTTTTAAAACACAGGGTCTTTGCTATGTTGCCTGGGCTGGCCTTGAACTCCTGAACTCAAGAGATCCTCCTGCCTCAGTCTCCTAGGTAGCTGGGACCTCAAGCAGCATCTGGCTTAAATTTTTTAAAGCCTTTCTAAATTGTGGTGGAAAAGAGAAAGGGAAATTTAAACTTACTGAATGTTTATTATGTTCCAGACATTAAGCTAGCCACTTTTAATTTATAACCACATTCAAATTTCACTTTCATCCCAGAAATAGTTATTCTTCCTATTTGCCAGCTGAGATTCAAACATACATCTTCCTGATTCTAAAGCCTTACTTTTTCCATTGGAAAATACTGCCCATTCGTCTTTTTCAGATATTACCTACTTTTATCTTAAAGGCATCTAACAACACATACTAGAAAATACGTATTTATCATTCAGTAAGTGAAAAAAGTACAGAAGATGGTTTTAAGATATTGCCTAGATAACTTTAAAACAGGGTCTGGTACATTGTTGCCTAAAAAGCAAGGGTAAGAATGTGGACTAAGGTCATCTACACTTAAATTACTCAGAGGAATATTTGATATACTATTTTAGCTTGAGCTAAAGAGATTAACTCAAATACAGAAACAAACTTCTTTCTCCTACTAAGCTTCTAAGGCAACTCAAGATAAAATCACAACAAAAACTTTAATAATCACTTTTATCAAGGATTTAATCACCTCATCTTCTAAGTAGGACACATAATTTAAACATAAAAAACAGTCTACGCTGGATGCAGTGGCTCATGCTGTACTCCTAGCACTTTAGGAGGCCAAGGCAGGAGGATTGCTTGAGCTCAGGAACTTGAGACCAACCTGGGGAACGTAGTGAGACTTTGTCTCTACAAAAAAAATTTACAAATTAGCCAGGGGTGGTGGCATGCACCTGTAGTCCCAGCTACTTGGGTGGCTAAGGTGGGAGGATTCCTTGAGCCTAGGAGGTTGCAGTTGTAGTGAGCCATGATTATGCCACCGCACTCCAGGGAAAGATGCTGATTCAAAAAAAAAAAAAAAAAAATACTTTGGGAGGCCGAGGTAGCCAGATCACGAGGTCAGGAGATTAAGACCATGCTGAAACCCCGTCTCTACTAAAAAATACAAAAGGCTGGGCGCGGTGGCTCAAGTCTGTAATCCCAGCACTTTGGGAGGCCGAGACAGGCGGATCACGAGGTCAGGAGATCGAGACCATCCTGGCTAACACGGTGAAACCCCGTCTCTACTAAAAATACAAAAAATTAGCCGGGCGAGGTGGCGGGCGCCTGTAGTCCCAGCTACTCCAGAGGCTGAGGCAGGAGAATGGCGTCAACCCGGAAGGCGGAGCCTGCAGTGAGCCGCGATCTCGCCACTGCACTCCCGCCTGGGCGGAAAAAAGAAAAAAAGGCAGTCTAATATGGCTTCCTAATATGCTTTAGGCTAGAACAGAGGTTCTCAAAATACGGTCCAAGGCAGAGGCTCCCTAAGGCCAAACTATCTTCCTAACAATACTAAGATGTACTCTTCTTCTTCTCTCATAAGTTTACAGTGGAATCTTCCAAAGTACAACATTTGCTATTCCGAGAGACTGGATACAGAAGCAGGCATAAGAGCCCATGTGCCTTCTATAAGCCAGACATTAATAAGACTTGCACAAATGCAAAACAATCCAACACTTCTCATTTCTTTCTTACTAAAAGTAATGTTTTACTACTCCTCTGAATCTTATCCCCTGTCTTAATTTTCAGGGACATCTCATTCATTGATTCACATAGATTATAATTTTATTCCTCAGGTTTTTGTACTGGATCATCTCCTCTTTTCCTCTCTTGTATCCTCATTTTCCTCTCCAGTGGAGAGGAATTGCCCCAGCATACAAATATGCTTTACTATCTCCAATTCTAAAACAAAAACAAAAACCTCCCTTAACCCCAATATCTCTCCAGCTTCTGCCCCCATTCTCTGTCTCCTCTTATAATCAAGCTTCTTCAAACGTCTATATTCCATTTCCTCAGCTCTCATTTACTCTTCAACCCACCCCACTATGGTTATGGGAACATGACCTGACTAAAGCTGCTTTCTTTACCATGTCCCACTACCTCTATGCTCTCTGATCATCTCTTTCCTCTTTTTTACTTGACTTTTGAGCAATCAAGTAAAGACACCTTCTATGCTAGATCCTCCAATCCTACCCACTTCCTAAAGGTTGAGAGGTACTCAGAGATCAGTACTGGGCTCTGCTCTTCTCTCTCTAGTATCTCCCTAGACCTCTTTCACTCCTGTGGATTTTTTTCCAAAATTATTTCTAAAAAGGTGATTCATGGACATAGCACTAAATTCAAAAGGCATAAAAGGCTATGCAGTGAACTAAGCTTATCTACCACCCTTGTTCCCAGCTGTCCAGTCCCACTCCCAAGAAAGTAACTGATATTACCCATAGCTTATTTAACCTTGCAGAGATACTCTATGATTTTACAGCTATCTGCCCTCAGCCTACACTTTTTTTAATATAAAACACAAATTATAGTCTACACTGTTTAGTACCTTTTTTCTCTGTAATAATACATCTTGGATATCATTACATATTGGTATATATAGAGCTATTGCATTCTTTCTAATGGCTGTATTCTATTCTGAAAATGTATTAAAATTTACTTAACTAGCCCCTTAATGGAACACATTTAGGTTGTTTCCAGACTCTGGTCACTTGGTCACTGTAAAGAATGTTGCAATGTTCCCTGACCACGCCATTTTGCACATGTGAACTTATATGTGGGCTACATTTTTAGAAAAGGAATCTTTGAATTGAAAGTTATATGCCATTAAAAATGACAGATATTCTCAAACATTCTCGACAGAGGCACTAATTTACACACCTAACAGTAATGTAACTCTCATGAAATTAAATATCATCACCATATTGATGGCACCCAAAGTCGTATCACCGGTCTCTCTCTTTTATTACTTCAACATGTCACAAACATAAAATCTGGCTTGACTCTTTGATTTGGACTCTCACTGCTCATTCTCCACTGTTTCCCTTCTTTTTTTAATCCATCCATAATAGTAGCTCAAACTAGAAACCTGGGAGCCATCCTTGACAGCTCCTTCTCTCCTAGTCCCTGTATCAATCTAGCACCAACTTACGTCAGTTCTACCACTTACTCAATCCTCAAACATCTACTTCTGTCTTCTTCACTGCCATGGTTTTAATCCAAGCTTCCAAAAACAATGATCTGGTATACTGTATTAACTCCCAATTTGTCTCCCACATCCACTCTGCCTTTCTTCTAAATTAATCCGTATTTTTTTTTCAGAGTATCTCTCTCACAAGTATAACCAAGGAGTTCTTTGTTTAATTGTGTATTTATCACATCTCCTCCACTACAATGCAAGCTCCATGAGAAACTATGACTGTTTTTGTTCACTACTGTGACCCTAGAATCTGACATTGTAGAAGCTCAGTAACTATTTACTAAATAAAAACAGCATGAACACAAAAAATGACCTTCATTCCATGTAAGTCTAGAGTGGAAGCAGGTGAGGAATTATCCCAATAGAATCTGTAATAATCAGTTTCCCCCACTACAATGTAAATTCCTTAAAAATGAGAACAATCTTACTCCTCTCTGAATCATAAACACTGGTGCTTGAATGTAAGATAGTCAATAAATATTTGATAAATGTAAGAATAAATGAGCCAACGTTATAAAAGTATATATCTGTGGTTATTAAATGATTTCCCGTCCTTTGTGGGGCAGATACCAGATATATAATAATGCCACCTTTTCTCTTTGGTGTCTAGAAGTCTGAAAGCAAGGAAATATCAAAATTCTTCTTGTATTATACTAATCAGTTACAGTTAGGTGGCTAACTTACCAGAGCAGACTTCCCAACGCCTCCTGAACCAAGGACCACTAGCTTGTACTCACGCATGATGTGATCTGTTTAAATACTGACGATCTGAAAAACAAACAAACAAACAAAAAAATCAAAGATTAAGAAACATACTAACAGCCTAATAATGTACAACTGCTACATCAAATATAGGAGTTTGTTTTGTTTTTTCCTTGTAAGACTATCAAAGGGACAACAGAAGCTACATGGCAAAAATCCATATAGATTTTAACATAAGTTTATAGGATTACTTTCAGACATTTTAATTCACTGAAGATCATCTTTGACTAGGCATCAATTATGTTCATATTACTTCTAAGAATCTTTGATTAAAAACAAGATGATTAAATCCAACAGTTGATAATGACTACAATGATAAACCCAATTCTTTGCAAAGCTATCATTTAAACAACTTATGTACTTTTTAAAAATATTCACTCATGAGCTTTAATATAATGTACAGGCTATTTTACTTGCTTAAAATATTCTACAGTAATTCTACACTATTTTGTTCATTATTGTATTATAGCTGAACCATTTAAAGTGTCATCTTGAAAATAATTAAAGATGTGAACAGGAGATCAGATGAAATTGCTAAACACTATAGGCAGTTATTAGCAATACACGACATAAGGCCCAAATGGCCAGAGAAAATAAAAGGAACATAAACTTTATTTTTTATCTCCATGGTTATCTTAAAAGGTATAAAGACAGGAAATAATTTTCAATGGCCATGGTGGAATAACTAGAAACAGACTTTTCAACTCACAATAACAGCCAGAACAGTGAACAAAAAAATATAAAACTCTTTTTAGATATTGGATAACAAGCAGTGTAGGACTGTGATTTCTGAGATGCAAAAGAAATGAAGTGAGACCTAACCTGCCCTGGCTTTCTGCCTAGAGGCACTTTTCAGACTATGGTGAAGGGAGAAAGAACTCAACCAGAGCTTAGAAGTGTGCCAGAGAAGTGGAAGCTAAGCATATAAAATTCCAGAAATCTGCATAAGGATTCACTTGAGTCTGGCTAAGCACTAAGCCCAGCACACAGACTAACTTCAAAAAGTAAGGCAAAGAATAAATAGAGATTTACAGGTGGAACAATTCCCAGAGTCATATGGTTCTGACTAGAAGTCTTCCTTGTTGAAAAACTAGGAATTCACTAGAAACCTCAAAAGACTCTTATCTTAGTAGCAGAGCTAAATAAGCTCTAGAGTAAATGATATTCTAGATGCTTCCTAACAAAGCTTAAAACAAGGCTCAAAAGGATGGAGTTGGTCCATGTGTAACTCAACCACTTGTCTAAACAAAGTCCAAGATTCTTTAAAAGAAGCAGAAAAAAAAATTCCACCATTCAATCATATAAAATTAACAATGTCCAGTATCCAATAAAAAATTAATAGAAATGTGGAGAAAGAAAATGTGACCTGAAACCAGAGTGAAATAAATCAGCTGAAACCATCCCGAAACAAGATGATTAAATTAGCCAATGAGGACTCTAAAACAATTATAAATATGCTCAAAAATTTAAAGAAAAAAAAATGAGGAAGAAAATGGTATACATAATTAGAACCAAAAAGAACTTAGAGTATTCAGGCTGGGCGCAGTGGCTCATGCCTGTAATCCCAGCACTTTGGGAGGCCGAGGCGGGTGGATCACGAGGTCGGGAGATCAAGACCATCCCGGCTAACGCAGTGAAACCCCGTCTCTACTAAAAATACAAAATATTAGCCAGGCGTGATGGCAGGCATCTGCAGTCCCAGCTACTCAGGAGGCTGAGGCAGGAGAATGGCATGAACCCGGGAGGTGGAGCTTGCAGTGAGCCAAGATCGTGCCACTGCACTCCAGCCTGGGCGACAGAGCGAGACTCCGTCTCAAAAAAAAAGAACTTACAGTATTCAAAAACAGTATGTGAAACAGGAATATCACTGGAGGGTATTAACAATATATTAAATACCACAGAAGGAAAGTACAGGGGATCTGAAGACACAGTAATAGAAAATACCCAAATTTAAACGCAGCTAAAATGTGATGAGAATAAGGGGAAAGAAGAGAAGGAGAAAGGGAGACAGGAGAGAGGGAACAAAGAAGCAAGGGTAGAAGGACTAGGGGTGTAATAAGAAAGAAAAGAAAAAGACAAGAACTACAGGGCAATATCAAGCCATCAAGCAGTATAATATATATGTAACTGGAATGGCGAGCCTTCCCAACGCCTCCTGAACCAAGGACCACTAGC